TCCATGACGTAGGCCATAGACAGCTTGATACGAGGGTTTTCCCTTTTGTTTTTTTTTTTTGTTTTTTTTTTATAGACGGACGATGGCCTTGAGATATCAATGTGGAAAAGGAGAAAAAAGTAGTGGAAGTTCAACTTTGAGGTCAAACAAAAAAGAGATATCAATTTGGAAAAGGGAAAAAGAAGTCAAACGTGGGACTGCTTGGGCCTAGTAGGCAATTCATTCATATACTCCCATCTGATATGAAACTCATTTTCTTTCCAGCAGTTGATTGGTGTACCAACTGAGCTAAGACAAGACTCTTTGGATGATATGAGGGTTTTCTCAAATGCGCCTATTGCCGTCGTATGATTAACCATATGGGAAGTCCTATGTGAGTACGCCCTTTATTTACCGTGGGCGATGTCCCAGGAGCAGAGAGGATTGGATTGGATTTAGCGCCCAAAGGTGGACGTGTTCGTGGAGAGGTGCAGAAAGTCGTGATTGATCTGCTTTTTTGCATGTCTGCGTAAAAGACGTCCAGATCCAGGAGTCTAACCCAATCCTCTTTGCTAGTGGGACCTCGACCAAGAAAGGTGAACCTGAGAGAGAGTCCGTCTTGTCTTCTTGACCACGCTTCGCTTATCACAACCATAGCTCCAATATCCCCATCGATGTTGATCATGCCACCTCAACCTTGAGGGGGTCCGGCCCCCTACATGAAGGCTACTACCCTCTTCCGCCCCCAGCCCCCCCCCAAAAAAAAAAAACAAAAAAAAAAACAGACGTACCCTGATCATGAATGCATACGACCTACTTTTCTGGTCGGATACGGCCATGATGACGGTGCGTTGTACTCGGGGGAAGACGCGACTCTATTCCAGGCCAAGCCTCAGATCCAGTGCCATGTAAATTTGTTCTGGGGCCAAGTCCCACTAGCAGCGTTGGCTTCCTTCAACGCCCGAGTGAGGACGTGTTTGTGGAGAGGTGCAGGACCTCGCGTTGAGTTTCCTCATCCGCACATCTCCTCAAACACATCCTCATTTGGTCGTTCAGGAAAAACTCAACGCTGCTGGTAGGACTGGCCCCCCTGGGGCGTGGTCCCACTAGCAAAGAGGATTGGATCGATTGCCTGAATCTGGACGAGATTATGGAGATGTGCAGGAAATCGAGATTGAACTTCTTTTCTGCATCTCTGCATAAAACACTTCCAGATTCTTCCGTTAGAAACATCCCACTCTTCATGCGCCCCAGCCGAACCGTCCTAGACACTAAGCCTCGCTCCACTACTACTCTCGACATGCATAAAAGACAAAAATCTTGGCCGTGTATCTTTCCATGTTCTTGCGGACGATTCACTCTCGTTCTGCACACGTCTTGTCGAGATAGTGGAGCGAGGCCCATTCTCCCCGCTCATTCGAGAGAAGTATGCCAAAAAAAAAAAGAAAAAAAACAGAAACGTCGATTCAGCTCCGTCGTAGGGCCTCGCTCCACAAGCGAATCTTCCCTTAGAACATGGAAAGATGCACCACCGTGAGTTTTGTTGTCCCTGGTGCTACAAAAATCGTGGCGGGGTATCTTTCCATGTTCTTGCGGAAGATTCACTATCGTTCTGCAACCCCCCCCTTTTACCCAAACGGGAACGCGGACGCCGACCAAGCTGGTTGCCTCAACGACCTCCCCAACCCATCACCGGTCGTTGAGCCTCCGAGCTCTGGGACGACCGATAGGCCTACCGGTCATTTTAACATTGCCGACCTCACCCTTCCAGCACCCCTGTTCACGCCCTAAAGACCCCGGTTGACGGTCGTCGACTTTCCCGAAAGGGAAAGTTTTTGCTAAACGACAAAAGGCGACAGGGTAAAGCGCAGCCTAATGGCTGCGAACAATCCTGCCTGATGCCTGACGGCGACCGGTCCGACCTTTTTTTTTTTTTTTTTTTTCGGAAAMAAAAGGCTAAGGGGCTCGTTAGACACTCCTCGGGCGCACAAAAATCCCGAGGAAATGATTGTTCCATCTGTCCTCGGAGAGAGTTCCTTGGAAACCGATGTGAAACATTTCCTCGGGGCGTCCTCGGGCCGTCGTCGGGCTACAGGCATTTGGCTGTGCTCCCCAAGGTACCTCGCGAGGTCCCTCGGAGTGGGAGTTTCTGCGAAATTCGGGACGGCGGCGGCGCTCTTCGACGACGTCAAAATTTTGTAGTCTGGCACATTGCTGGTCCAGCCGAGGTGCGGGCGGACATTAGCGGCCGGCAACGTTCGACTCCAGCGGGAACGACCGCAACGGTAAGGTTGGGTGGCGGACGGGGTCCCTGGCCGTTGCCAGTTTATCCCGGCCCCTCACCAGCGCCGGCGGGAAACGGGAAGGCCTCCAACGTCCAGCCATTTCGAAAATGACAGCGACGTATGTCCGTCACCGCGCGCCGTTTCGACAATGTAAAGCGGCAGAGGGCGTCGGCAGTCGTGCCCACGCACGCCTGCTGTTTGTCGCCGTCTGGGTAGACGTTACGTTGTCGTGCGTTGTCGTTGTTAGTTGCCCTTGTGAGAACAGTTGTGTTACATGGCCGACGTGCTCCGCAAGCTGCCGCGGGTCCTCCTCGTCGTGATTCTGCTTGTAGTTGTCGTCCTTGTTCAGGTGTGCATATTGGGGAGGTTGCCTTCACGTACTCGCAGGAAACGAGGGGTGAGGAAGAGCGTGGCCATGGACGGGCGGCGGCCGAGTGTTGCCACGTTGTCCCACACTTATCCCAGCCACCGGCCTGCGATCTGCACCGGTGTAGACAGAAGGGCGGCAGGTCCGTCGCCGTACAAAGGACTCCCGCCTCACATGCAGCCTCTGCCCGATTCGGACGAGGGGGAGGCGGACGTGGACGTGTCCAACACCGTTCCGCTGGGTAGCGGGTCGACCCAGGAATGGACGGGTAGCCAGTTGTTTGATCGGCGCGGAGCGAAGTACAGGCAGTCGTTCACTTCCCTCCTCCACGAAGGTGCCCAGGAAGAGGAACGCCTCCCCCCTGTGGATCTCACATTTGGCCTGCGGAGCGGGAGCCCATCTTCTGCCACGCGCACTGTGCTCCTGAACCCTCATCCCGATGACGACGAGGGGCAGGTGAAATTGGTCGGCAGCGGCACGAGGGGTGGTTCTGCGCGTCAGGAGACGTCCGAGAAGACGAGGGAGCGGCCTCGAGTGCAGGCGACTTCTAGCCCGTCAATTCCACACACCACCGCTGGTCGCCCTGAGTGGATGAACCCCCCTCCTGCGTTCTCCAGGGGCTGCGACACCGTTCCTCGTCCAGTTGAACGGGGTGTGAGTGCGGAAGACTTCCCTTTCGAGGGTGCGCGTGGAGATGGCAGGCGGGTATGGAAGGAGTCAAGGCAGGAGTTGCGGCGTCAGCAAGAAGAGTCCATAACGCAAGGTGTGCAGCGATTACGCGTGGGCGGGCGGGCCGGGCAAGCAGACGCGGTTGGCGGGGGGGGTGACGTCTCGACAGACGGTGACGAAGTTGAGTGCAACGCTGAGGAGGACGACAGCGGTGACGTGTTCCCGTTGCGTGCGCCGAACATGGGTGGCAAGGGCGGCAGAGGCAGGGCTTCGACGAATGCTGGGCGGAGGCGGAAAAGGCCGTCGGGGACCTCTGCTGATGCGGAAGGTGAGGGGGATGGGGAGGGTGGCCAGAATTTCTCGTTTGTGGATCACATGGTGGCCCTCATAAGGGCGAAGCGGGATCAGGACGCCCAACTGCAAGCGGCGGGGCACGCATTCACTCGGATGTGGTCGAGGGAGTGGAAATGGTTGGACGTCCGAGAGAGGTTGCAAGGTCGGTGTTGAGAGGCCGGCAGATAAATGCGGGAAGAAATGGGATAATCTCATGCAACAGTTCAAAAAGATCCACACTTTCATGGGCATGGCGGGGAAGGAGGACTTTTTCCAGTTGAAGAGTTAGCAGAGGGCAGAGAAAGGATTCAACTTCAACATGGATCGGGCCGTCTACGAGGAGATCAAAGGGGCGAAGGAGAGGAGCCACACTATCAGCCCGAGCAACATTGCAGACATCGGTGGCGCATGAGGTGTGCAACTCCCATCTGCTCAGTCGGCGACTCCTGAATCTGTGGGGAACGGGGATGCCGCTGGAGATGGCAACGACGAAGACGACAGCTCAGCGCGTGAGGCCTCATAGACGACTGGAAGTCTGACCGGTTTCGGGAAGAGTAAAAACGTGCGGCAGCAGACATTCGAGGCCTTAAGCGAGTGCATGGAGAAGCATGGGGCGTTGATGGCGTCAACGATGGAGAGCGCGAGCATGAGGCAATGCGAGGCGATGGAGAGCGCGACCAAGAGGCAATGCTCCATTCAAATTCAGTAGTGTGAGGCTATCGAAGCGGAGGTGGAGGTCCAGAAGCAACACTGCGCTGCGTCCAATGAAGTTAGCAAGCTTATGTGTCAGGCGCTGATGGAAATAGCGAAGGCTATACGAGAGTGATAGAGGGGAACATCTGCCACAGGGCATTTTTCGGCCATGGATGTCACTCTGTTGCCACGCATGTGTCGTGTACTTAAGTGGGATGGAGTTCATTCGCACTCCTAGTTCATTTCGTGCCATGGGTTTGTTTTCGGTTTGTGTCTGTAGAGGAGTGGCAGATTCCCTGTCGTGCGCGTACTTCTGTCGGTCTGTCGGTCTGTCCGTCTTCTCCGTGGATTTGTTCCATTGTTCATTGTGGAGCGCGGAGTGCCCTTGTTTTTTTACTTGTTTGTTTATCGCTTCGGCCGTAGTTGTAGTGTGCTCGTAATCGGGAGGTGGACCACACTGCAATGATGAACTTGGCGGGGATAGGTTCTTGGACGACCGTTTGATTCATTTTTTCAGTTTGCGAAGTGGATACATAGAGAGCAAGAGAATTGAAAATTTGTTATTGTTGGCTCCTATTGCTGAATTTGGCATCCAGTTTGTGTCACCGACGATGCACTTGTTCAATGT